TAAAGGTAAAAATGCCCATAAAAGGTAAAAATCTATTTAAACTTACTGGAAAAGATTAAATTCTATCACTGCTACCTCTGCAAATTCAGGAGTCAATGACAGGAATATATTAAATACTGTAATAAAGGCTGCCATGTCGATTAGCAATGGATTATAAATATACTTAATTAGTAAATACTCGAGGTGGTTCTAAGAACACAGATAGACATTGTTGCAGTGGAGTGTTTGTCTTAATGTTCTTTTTGAATGTCATCATTCAAAGCGTTTCTGTCTCATTTCATTCAGTTACAGCAATAGCTGGATGCTTTTGTCCATATTAAGGATTTCCTGGAGCATTGTGAAGTTATATTTCTTCTGTAATGCATGTGGATTTTCTGCACAACGGTGCCCTCTAGCATCCAGTATGAATGAAACGACATTACATGTGTTCATAGCACAAAATAATGGCCAATCCATAAAAATAATACTGAAGTACACATGATAATCCATGCTTTTTAAGTGAAGTGATGTGTGGCCAAGTATGGTGACCCACACTCGAAATTTGTGCTCTGCATTTAACCCATCCAAGTGCACATACACAGTAGTGAACACAAACACACACCGTAAACACGCGACCTTTGGGTTACAAGTCAGACTCTAACCATTAGGCCACGACTGCCCCTTTTTCCACTATCATATCAGCCCTAATTCCATAATTATATCATGGTTCATTTTAACAGAAGTGTACTGGAGTGTGTTGTATTTTTGCATCCCTACAGTTTACTCTAAAATACTGTATAACAGGAATATCACAAACAAGAGAGTGCAGACCCTGAGTACTAGCCTATGAAAAATTGTCATAATTTCAAATAAAAACAAAAATGTAACAATTCAACAAATAACCATAAAAAGTTTGTATTTTAAAATCACAAGATAAGAAATTAACTCCTTCATTGGAAAAAAAATCCCACATTTAATAGTTGAGTATATTTACAGTATGAACCTTAAATGGACTATGAGTGCAAGAAGTAAATAAATGTAAAAAAAAAAAATTGTAATTAAAAATAAAATAATCATTCAATAATCATAATCAGGGTAGAGTGTTCAATTTATTGAGGGTTTGATTTTAGGTCATATCATCCAGCCCTATTTCCACTATTATATCGTGATTCAGTTTTATGACCTTTCACAGTTCTCTTACTAAAAAGAACCATTTTTAATTGTATTTCAGAGTCGATTGAAGAAAATGAGGAGACTGAAGAAATGAGTGAAGTTGAGGGAAAAAATCATATTAAAACTGGAGAAAAACCTCCGACTTGCTCTCAAACCAAACAGAAAAACTTAGAGAAAAGAAGAGCCAAGAAATCTTTCACCTGCACTCAGTGTGGAAAGAGTTTCACATACAAAACAAGTCTTGAGCATCACATGAGAATTCATACTGGAGAGAAGCCATTCACTTGTGATCAATGTGGGAAGAGTTTTACACAATCAGCACACCTTAAGGATCACATAAACATCCACAATGGAGAGAAGCAGCACGCATGCGATCAGTGCGGGAAGAGTTTCACAAGAAAAGGACACCTTGCGGCACACATGAGAGTTCATACGGGAGAGAAACCATTCACTTGTGATCAGTGTGGAAAGAGTTTTGCACACACAGCAAACCTTAAGGACCACATGAACTTCCACACTGGAGAGAAGCTGTACACATGTGATCAGTGTGGCAAAATATTTTTCTGGGCTTCAGGCCTGAAGCAGCACCTAAAAGTTCATACAAAGGAGAAGCCACATTCATGTTATTTGTGTGGAAAGAGTTTTTCATGTCTGCAATATTTAAAAGTACATCAGAAAATACATACTGGTGTGAGAGAGTACATGTGCTTTGAGTGTGAAAAGACTTTTAACTCAGCAAAGTGTTTAAAACTGCACGAGAGGATTCACACTGGAGAAAAACCTTACAAGTGTTCACACTGTGACAAGAGATTCAGTGATTCATCAAGTCTGAAAAGACATGAGAGGATCCACACTGGAGAGAAACCGTATCACTGCACTGCATGTGGGAAGCGTTTCAATAATTCATCTGCTCTACACAGTCATGCAAAAAACTATCATAGTAAGTAGATCATCTTCAGATCCAGCACTTTCAGGTCTGATGCTGCGTCCTCACAAAATGTGACACAATAATGCATCAAGCAATAAAATATCATCGGGATAAATCTGTCCTAACCAGTCATAACAAGTGACGTGACAAAGAAACATAATCTAAAGTTTTCACAGTGAATAAAGTTCATCTTCAAAACCAGCAGATTCAACGGTGAGATTCAACTCAAAGATGGAGTTCCTCCCCAAAGAATGTCAAAAAGTTTTATTATTGTGTATCATTTTGCTTCATAATATAAATGATATTGTTTCATATTACATTCAATTGTCTTATAATTCATGTGTCACTTGTAGTTTGCTTACTCTTTCATGAAGGAAAGCAGAAGCTTACGACAAACTGTTCTTGTTCAGGAAGCTATAAGACTTTTAAGAGAGCTGAGATTTATTTTTAATTTTTGTTCTTCACTGTTGCTTTTAAAACAAATAGTTATTATATTTTATACAACAGCTCTTTCTGGTTCTGGTTTGACTGAATTGCCTAATAAGTTTTATGATCTGTGTTGATGTTGTTTATTAAATATTATTCAATAAATAATATTTTATATAAGTATTACTTAAAAATACTTAGTATTTAGTATTGAAATGGTGTGTGTATTATATGGCGACTAGAGACTGTTTTTCCGAGTGAGTCTGCAGTAAAGACTTTTGTAATGAAAGATACTGAAACGCCTTTTTAAATTAAATTATGTGCATATTTTAGTTCAAACATATGCATCTCACAAGTTATGGAAAAAAAATAAAAGGGTATACAGAAAAGAAAAAAGAAAAAAAAAAAATATATATATATATATATATATATGCCAGAGATAAAAAAGTTAAACATTTAATTAACCAAATTAGTTACATATTGCTTTAAAAGTCTTTTTATCTTTTCTGTTTCTAATTTTGTGCAAAGTAGTACCATATTGTTTCATTGCTATTATAAAATGCTCACAATCTGGCCATTTCTTTACATTAATATGATATTTTTCAAGTAAAATAATTAGTTGTGTAAGAAAATCACAGGCATTT